AGAGCCAAGCAGGGTCAGCCAGCCCCGCAGAGACAGGATAGGTCTGCGGGGAGCAGTACAGCAGGAGGGATGCTCTCTGCAGGCCATGCGCAGGCTGTTAGTCACCAGCCACCACAGCAAACGGGGCTGGAGACACTTTGGGAAGCCAGGCAGGAGCAGACAGCAAGGACCAGCCCACTGGGCAGTCAGGGCACGGGGAGCCAGACAGAGCTGTGGTGGTCTGGGCTCCTACTCAGCCACTAGACAGGACATATCCAGGCAATGTCTGAGCCTCTCCACACCCTGCCAAGGAGCCCTGGCTGGTTTGAGGGTGCAGAGGTGAACTATCTCCCATCTGGGGATGCCCAACCACATAGCAAGTACAGGAGGGACTTGCTGGGCTGAGCTCCAGCCTTACCGAGCCATCTTCTAGGCGGAGATGGAGAATGGTGTCTCCTTCCTTGTAGCCTCTGGTTACTTCTGCCACCCTCCAGACTTCAACACGGTCAGGGATCCACACCCGGGCACCCTACAGGGACATGGCAAGGAGGAGAACCCTGTAGAGAGCCTTAAACAAGAGACACGGAAAGCATCTGGCCATGAGCTTCCAAACCAAGCCCTGCAGCCCCACGGTTCTCACTCGGGACCCTCAGCCTAGGGCTCAGCATGGCCATAGCAGGGCAAGCCGTGGGACCCAGCTGGTTGCCCCACAGCCCTTGGCTGCTGCAGGCAGGGCTCCTACCCAGCTGCTCTCCAGATGTGCAGGAAGATGCCTTTGCTGGAGGGCTGCTTCTGCCCAGCTCTGCTGCCCACCCCAGGAAGATCAGCACCTCTCCTGCGCTACATGAGAGTAGCTGCATCCAGGAGGCTGGTACCACTTGCTGCTCTGAACAGGCAGAGCTGAGGCTGTATCACAAGCTTAAAAAGGTGGTGGTGGGGTGAAAACTCATGGTTGCAGCATTGCTCTCAAAGCTGAGGTATTGCAGAGCAGCAACAGGGCTCTAACACATCACACATCCACCCCAGCTGGCTGGGACCAGCCTCTTGCTAGAAACCAGGGCCTGAAAAACTATCCTGGTTTCATTGATTTTTGAAAATCCAGGGAACCTGGCTCGCAGCAAAAGTTTCCAGGTCTGCGGTGTGCAAAGTACGTCCGTTAATGCATCATTAAAGTGGCTCAAACAAACACTGGAAAGGCTGGAAGCCTCGAGAGCGAGAGGGAAGGAGCTGGACTTCGAGTCCGTATCCAAGGAGTCATCAGAAGACGGAGCCTCTGACTTGGCAGGAGAGGGCAGGAGGCCCCCCGGTATCTTTTTTGAGGA